AAAAATAGGTTTCATAATAATTTATTTAATCTTAATAACTATAAAAGAAATTTTTTAAACTATTAAAATTACCTTAAACCGATAACTGGGCGTCATCCACATAGAACTTTTTCGCCGTAAACTTCATAAAGTTATCAAATACACAAAGACACTTAGGAGAATAATTTCACTCACGGAATATAAAGTTAAGTACAAAATGTACCGTCCAATAGCGATACATGTTCAATTTTTACGAATTTAAACGAGATATTAGAGTAAAAAGCTAGAATATTGGTGTCTCACAAGCAGGGTGCGCTTTAAGGGATAAATGTTTCAAAACTGACATCATATTCGTCATCAGCTACCCCAAGAACCCCCGAGTAGAGTTTTAGGTGAATCCAATTAATTTTTACAAAACTCGTCCGACATATTGGATCCGCCATTTAAAATTTTTGAAAACTAGCCTCATATTCGTAATCAGCGACCCCAAAAACCTGCGCGTAGCGAGTTTCAAGTGAATCCAATAAATGTTTACAAAACTTTTTCGCCATATTGGATCCGCCATTTTGAATTTTTGAAAACTAGCCCCATAGTCGTAATCAGCGACCCTAAAAACCCCCGAGTAGCATGTTTTATGTGAATCCAATAAATTTTTACAAAACTTGTCTGCCATATTGGATTCGCCATTTTGAATTTTTGAAAACTAGCATCATATTCGTAAACAGCGACCCCAAGAACCCCCGAGTAACGAGTTTTAGAGGATTTCAGTGACTTGAAAAAGTTGGAGCACTATGTTTCATGTGAGCCATTTTTTTAGTTTTAGCCGCCATATTAGCGTCCGCCATTTTGAAAAAAAAATTGGTCACTTCAAGGTAATACATTCTTTTTTCCGGTAAAAATACTCCTGAAATCAAATTTTTTTCTGGAAAAAACGTTTTTTTTGAAAAAATTGTTTATAACTTTTTAACAATTTTGTATAAACAAATTTTAACAGCAGAATCTGAAAGAAGAGTAAATTTTACATTAAAAATGGTATGTGCCAATTTTTTATATGCATTTTTATAAAAGACGAGGTCCTCAAAGTCTATTGAATTAAACTATATTGAATTCAAATTTTTCGTCCGTCTGGTCCTTAATGGGTTAACTGGAATCATTTAAGTGACAGCGTGTAAATTGTAACAACTGCACAAAGTGAATGTCGGTTGTTACAATACCAAAAATAATCTATAAAATTTCTACATTGAAGACAAATAATTTTTTATAACCATTTTTATTAATTATTTATAATTTTTGGCTCAACGTAATAGTACGTGACAGTTATATAGAGATGGCAGCATTAATATTGTTTCGAAATGAAAGAAACTTAAAAATGTTTTTTTTTATTAATTTTGAAGACGAATTTAGAAAAACCATGAGATTTTTTATAAAAAAAGAGTGTAATTACATTTTTGACAAATATTTTACATTTCAAACGAATCTGCTGAATTTTGTAAAAAAGATGCGTTCTCATTATCACTTGTAACAACTGCACAACAGGTACATTTTTTACAATAAAACACTTTATTAAAAAAGTATAGGTACATTAAATGTGGTCAACCAAGGCAGTTTTTTAAAGCTTCATCCTCATAGAATTGATATTAAAAATCTACTTTGTTAAGTATAAAGGTCTATTAATTATTTAAAAATCTCTATAACTAACTGTTTCTGAGATATTCCATTTGTAACAACTGCACAGCGTAACAACCGCACCTCGTCTACCTCACTCAAAACCCTTATAGTAGCGTTTTTAGTTCTGATAATTTGGAACCATGGAATTGTCAAGCATTGTATTTAAGTCACTGCCAAGATGATTGGATCAATCATTAGTCAGGATAGGCCAAACTGTAGCTTTTTATCGTGTTACATGCATTCTACCTCCCGAATATCAATAAAAACTCGAAAATAACTTCTTTTTTGTGTTATTTAATATACGTGATCGTTCAATATTCACAAACAATAACAATTTCTCATCCTAGGGGCAACAAACAAATTTATCTTGTATTAGGAAGCGTTCACAAATGATGTCACGCAATTTTTTTGAGATTTTCGACACCCCCCTCTGTCACGCAATTTCACATGTAAAAAATACATTGTGTCACGTTTAGTAACCCCCCCCCCCTTCTCCAAAAGCTTGACCTGATTTGTAAATACTTCCTTAGCAGTCCAGTGCTTGCTGAAACAAATCCAAAAAAATCAGGAATTAAAGATGATTGCATTTTTAACAGTATAATTGTTTTTTATTTTATACATAATTTCTTTATAGAAATACTGCGCTATATTTTAGAGGATAGTTGTCAATATGACACCTTGCTTTAATTTTAAGACATCTTATTTACGATCTGAAACTTATTACTGTAGATGAATTAAATCAAAGAATGAGGTCTTTTTCTAATGGAAAATCTGTTATATTAATAAACCACAAGAATTATCAGAATATTAAATAAAAAATAGATGCTTAGTGATGGCAGCATCGGAAATGCTATCCTTGGTTAGAAATCTATGTCTCCTCATTGGTCATTAAGTACCCCAAGATACTGAGTATTCTAATTTCCTAAAAATGATTAAAAGTATTTTTGAAATTGTTGTCAGTCCAGTATTCATGTTCAAACTCCCAAACTTTTAAGTATTTAAAATTTTATTATGCAACTCAGGGGTATTATGGTCACCTTATCTACCTGTACAGGCGCATGTTAAGTTTCTCCATATAACATAGCTGGTCAATAAAGTGCCTATTATTGCCCTAGGGCAATAATGTGTCCCCAATAATGGACATTTTATTGACCTTCTGTGTAATATGGAGAAACTTAACATGCACCGTCACAGGTAGCATAGAGTGACCATAATACGTCTTTGTTGCATAAAGTATAGTATGCAACATGGGAGGTAACCTCGTTTATGTGTTTCGCTCAATATTGAAGAACTCGTCTTCGCTCGTGTTACGACATTGTTGCATAATGTACTATTAATACAGAGTATTTGAGTTTACATAGCGAATTATTTCCAGGAAAATTAAGGTCGAAGCAACATTTTTACTGTATTATTGTAAAGTAATTATTAACGTAGTCCCACTTTGGAATATTAATTGCATACGTAACATCGCATGTCAGTATTAGTCGTGTCAATGTTTGTCGTACTATTGCTTTAAAGCATCAATTCTTGCTCAACTATCGTCTACTTTTTAACGAATCATCTCAAAAAGTCTTAACTATTGACAATGTTAAAAAAGTAACTCCGGAAATGTTACCAAATATCAATGAATTTTATCATTTGTTATCGACTCAATAATCTGCTAATCATTTTCAAGCATTTAAAATCTACAATAGAGGAAACTTTTCTTGGCATGTATTTTTATCCACAGAATTCACGGAAAGTAAAATTATTACAATTCACAAATTGCGTGACAGATACTGTTATATTAAAAACATTGGATGTGAATTTTCAATTTTATTGATTAGAAAAAATAGTTGTGATTTTTTAATTATATAAATTATTCTAAAAGTTATGTTTTACATGGAATTAAGATAATAAAGATTATGATGGCAAATTAAACTGTTTTCTTTATTTCTTATTAGAAAAGTAAAAAATTTATATGCTTAGTATATCATTTTATTTTATAACAATTTATTTTTGAAACTTTGCTTTTGTATATCTATATAAATTTATAAAAAATATGCATATGGGTCATTCTCTGAAAAAGAACAAATTCTGAATTTTAATTTTATTTAAAAGAAAAGTTGAAAAATGACTTTTATTACTAGTCCTGTGGCAAGAGGGGGATCTTAATAAACCTATAAAATATGTCGTTACAATCTTTATTAACATTATTATTAAAAATTAATGTTTTTATTCAAAAGGGTTATGTGAAAAATTTCGCAGCAGAATGAGTTAAAAATTTATGGAAATTGCTCAAAACTAGTTTCTCAGTGATTTTTATGGTTGCTAATTACAAGTAAGGATCCAAATTTAAAAAATTCAAAATGGTGGATCTAATATGGCAGACATTTTTTGAAAAATTCATCGGATTTGCTTGAAACTCGTCACTCGAGGGTTTTAGGGGCCGCTGATTACGAATTTGATGTCATTTTTTAAAAATTCAAAATGGCAGATCTAATATGTCAAACACATTTTTTAAGGGGCCGCCCATAAATTACGTAACCCCTTTTTTAGTGAAATTTTTAACCCCTCTCCCCTATGTAACAGGTTGTAACAAAATCGTGTTACCCCCCTCTATCATTGTTACGTAGTTTTTAAAAATATTTTTTTATCAACGTTTTTCGAAACAAATTTGTTTATTACTGTTACTTTTAGTATTTATATCGTAGAATAACAATACAAAATTAAGTTGAATATATAAAAACCGGTTAGAGGAATAATTTTATTAATCATACTGAACAACCAAAAATATAACATTGATTTTTTAACAAAAATTTTATATTATTCCCAAGAATCGATTCGCGAAATGATTCAATTTTTACTTATATTGAAGTGGCGGCAAGGGACAGCTTTTAAAAAATTTATCGATTATAAAAAGATTAAGTTCCTTATAAATATTACGTAACAATGATGATTGACCCCCCCTCCCATGTAACATTTTCTCGAACCCCCCCCCCTCCCCTAAATGTGTTACGTAATTTATGGACGGCCCCCTATATGAAATCGAATTCGGCTTAAGTCACTACTAATTATTTTCGCTTTCTATCCATTATTTTTATTTATACTAGAATAATAAAGCAAATATTAATATGTAGATATATATATATATTCTTTGTAGATTACAGCTAGAACATTAAGATAATAAACTGTACCTAATGGTTTAAAGTTAATACTGTTCTTTTTACAGACTGTTGAATTTATGACAAAGAACTTTAAATACATGTCACAGAACGTAAAAGGTATCATTATTAGCGACAATAGTTAAACGCTATAATATAAGTGTTATTATTTAAGTTAACTGTACCTTAACAATATTATGGCTTTTACAGCAGCAGGCGGCAATTATGGCTGCCGCGACGGCGCAAGGTACATACATCAATCCAATGGCTGCTGCTTTAGCAGCTGGACAACTTCCACATGCGTTAAATGGTATGCCAAATGCTGTCGTCCCACCTACTTCTGGTAATTTATTTTACCTTCCAGTATTGTCCTTGCATGCAATAAGTTTGTTATTATTTTTATGAAATAGTTTAGATTTTTAATATTTTTAAAACGATTATCAGTCTTCCAAGTAAAATCAAAGTTTAAATTTTTCTAAAATTCTCTTTCTTTAATGTAGATGATTAGATTTAGACGCCCAGCACTTGCTAGTTTAGTCCAACACAACGTTTGAATACCAGTGTCTAGCCGATTAGCTTTATGAAGTCGTTTGTGGTTTTAGGGGTTTTAAAAAATCTTTAAATGAAAGGTGAAAAGATATCTATTAGAAAATATTAATTAATTATTATCCCGTACAGCACATGATATTTAACCTATATACACTACCGGCGGAAATTGTGCGACCGCTAACACCTCGAGCTATTAAAAAACACACCCGCACAAAAACATTGATAACTCCGTCAAAAATGAAGCTAGATGCTTTTTCTAAATTGTATTGGAAAGCTTATTAAATATCCAATAAAATTACACTATTTTCATTTATATTACATAAATAGGAAGCGAGATATCATGTTATAAACACAGATAAATAATTATATTTTTTTTTAATTTCTAAGCCTAACTTTGACTCCTGGCAAAATTTAGAAAAGTTGATGAAAAAAATTGTTATTTTTACAGACTATTCCTTGTAATCTAAGCTTTAAAAACAGACCAAGAACAGCAAAAAATATTAACGGGTTCTCTAATTTACCGTTGAGTTAGTTGCGCGGCAGTGAAAAAAGTGTCGAAAATGAATTTTTCCAAGTATATTCTTACTGGGATCCACTTTTTAAATATCATTATATAATAAATTAAATTAAAAAGTGAATCCCAATAAGAATGTACTTAGTAAAATTTATTTTCGACCCTTTTTTCACAGCCACGCAACTAACTCAACGGCGAATTAGAGAATATATGATTAAAAATTTTGCTTCGCACGGTCCGACTTTTTTTGTAATATATTGGGATCCCCTTAATATTTTTTGCTGTTCTTGGTCTCTATTTAAAGCTTAGATTACAAGGAATAGTCTGTGAAAGTAACAAATTTTTTCATGAACTTTTTTAAATTTTGCCAGGGGTAAAAGTCAGAGTAAGAAATTCTAAAAAAAATATAATTATTTGTCTGTGTTTATAACATGATATTTCGCTTCCTATTTATGCAATACAAATAAAAATAGTGTCATTTCATTGGAAATTTAATAAGCTTCCCAATGCAATTCAGAAAAAGCATCTTGCTTCATATTTGACGGAGTTATCACTGTTTTTGTGAGGGTGTCTTTTCTAATAGGTCGAGATGTTAGCGATCGCACAATTTCCGCCGGTAGTGTAACTAAATTACTTCCTAGTTAGATCTATATATAACTAGAATATTCCAAAGATATTTTATGAATATTCCAACAAATATTCTATTCACATAGGTTTATTACATTCTCATCACTTGATAAAGTATTAGTTTTAATCGAAAATTGACTTGCTCTAATATTATGAAGTCTGCTCGTTTTAAGAAGGAATAGTTGAACATTCGAATTTTGATTTTCTTTGTTTACAAAAAAGCGCTCAAAAACCGCTGAAAACTCTTAACAAATGTTCTGAAAACAAATTCAAATACATATGTTTACCTATTATTTAATTTGTACACTACCGTCGGGAATTATCGGTACGGCTGCACACGCACGGCCCAAAAACATACCAATCTTTAAATCACGATTTTTTTTGTAAATACAAATGTCAAAAAATTAACAAATATACCATTCTAAAGATTATTAAATTCTACGATTAATGGTACATAACTGAAAATTTTAATAATTTTTACAAAGATTGCAGCAATCGACAAATTTGACAAAAAAATTTTAAAAATACAATTTTTTTGGAAATTTTTTCAACCCCTGCACATTTTTTAAAAATTGTAGAAAAAATTTGAAACTTACATAAGTGTAATCATTCAAATTTCATCTTTAATTTAAGACCAAAAGAGTTTAAAAATCTTATTCGGTTCGTGAGATATCATTATAAACGTCCGAGCATGTTTTTTGACAAATGCATTGAATTAGTCGATTTTGAACGGTTTTTGGCTGAAAATGCTCGTCCGTTTATAATGATATCTCGCTAACCGATTAAGATTTTTGAATTCTTTTGGTCTTAAATTAAAAATGAGACTTGAATGATCACACCTATATAAGTTTCAAATTTTTTCTGCAATTTTTAAAAAATGTGCAGGGGTTGAAAAAATTTCCAAAAAAATTGTATTTTTAAAATTTTTTTGTCAAATTTGTCAATTGCTGCAATCTTTGTATAAATTATTAAAATTTTCAGTTATGTACCATTAATCGTAGAATTTAATAATCTTTCGAATGGTATAATTGTTAATTTGCTAACATTTGTATTTACAAAAAAATCGTGATTTAAAGATTGGTATGTTTTTGGGCCGTGCGTGTGCAGCCGTACCGATGATTCCCGACGGTAGTGTAGGTATGTACATATTACAATTACTCTTTATTATAGTTTACTTGATTTTCAAAGCAATTTATTCTTTCAGTTAATGAGAACTTGCTTATTTAATTAATAATGTCAGTCAATGTGCCAACTTTCACAAAAAAAGAAAGCTGATTTTTGATGATTTCAGGCAATGTGACGTGAATTTTACTCATGCTGGTGGTAGATCAAAATTTTATTTTAAAGATATGTCTCAACGATCTCAACGTCGCGTCGAGAGATAAGTTAATTAAGTAAGCAATGTGAACACGACCCTTTAACAATTTTAAAAGGTGCCAAACTTTCTGCTATGCATTCTAAACTGAATGATGTGCAATTACTTCTGTCTGATGTTATAAAAATTATTGACTCTCCTCACTCCTCAACAAACGAAACAACGTTCCATCTATCGACCTTACGTAATAGCAGGTCAACATCTTCAAATTCTTTTAGAGGGAATGCGTAACGTTGTATTATTCAAAAATAAATATGAACACGAGAATAACTTTGAGGATGATGAATTTCGTCATTTAGCTCCACTCACAAAAGTTCAATTCAAAGAACTATTAACCTTCTTAGATCCAGTTTCTCATCTTGGTGGTTTTAGGTATGTAGATCAAAAAGATCAATTAAGGTTTTTATGCAAAATGAAACAAGGGCTACCTGACGAGTTCTTAAAATAATGTTTCGCTATTTAAGCAGACAAGCGGTTCGTTTGGCCGTGGCGACCGTTTAGCAGTCCTTGATGTTACTATTTGTTCGACAAAATATTGAGTTTACTGCTATTACAAAGGAACAATATATACAACTCCACGTGAAAGAGTTCCATAACGAATTATACAATCCACAACCAGAGATTCCAAGAGTCATTTCGTTTCTCGACAGTACTTATAGTTACATTGATAAAAGCAGTAACTTTCGTACTTTGCGACAATCCTACTGCACACATAAGTGCAAACATTTACTGAAACGCGAGCTTTGCTGGTTGCTCGCGATGGCTATATTTTAAGTATTCAAGGTCCATATTTTTCAGACTATCACAACAGTGATGCATCAATGTTGCGCAATGAATTTCAACGAGACGTGAGAAATATGAGAGAATGGTTCGATGAAGAATCAATACTCATACTCCCGGTGTACCGGGATGCTACTTTATGGTCGCAATTAGGCATAAATTGGCATATGCCCTCGCTACTTGCACCTGTTTTGCAACAATTCCCTACTGAGCAAGCCAATAAAGCACAGTCAATCACAAAAACAAGGTGGATTAATGAGGCTAGAAATGGAAATATTACAACAATGTTTCCATTTTTGAAAAAGACTACTTAGTTGCAGCGTGCCATCCATTTAGGTCATTTTTACCGAATAGTAGGTGCAATCATTAATTGATTTCATCCACTGATTAAAATGAATGGAGCAACTGCAGAAAAAGCAAGAGAAATGCTTACGAAAGCTCGAGAAGTAAATGTTTTCCATTTACAAATTGGGGGTACAAATTTTACAGATTGGGGTACAAAAGTTCCAAAATAAAAGTTCCAAAGAGACAGTTCCAAAACCGGAAAGTCGAAAATTTATTGTTTTCAAAGTACAGAAGTTCCATAACCCAAAAGTTCCAATTGGAAAAAAAGTATATTGGAAAATTCAAAATCATCAAGTCAAATTAAAAAGGAAGTAATAATTTTAAAATGTATATGATAACTTATTCAGGAGATAAACAACTCCAAAGTTACAAAACATTTCACCGAAATCTTTTATCTTTTATGTATTTTGTGCGGGGGCTTTTTTTATGTTTTTTGTTGAAAATTTGTCGAAATTTGTCGAATAGTTTTGGTTAAATGAATAATGTAAATTATATGTTTGTTTTTTAATAGATTATCGGAAAAATGACAAATGAAACCCTTATTTCACTTCTGCAAAGTTTTGATGTCTTGGTTTGCAACCATCATCAGGCCACTTTATTTTAACATTTAATTTTTACAAATAAAAATAAATTATATTAAAATCACTATAAATCAAATGCGAGCAAAAAAATAAATATCAAAGAATTATATACCTAGTCATTTTTTAAAAAAATGTTAAACAAATAATTGGTTACATTTGTAACACGTCTTTAATGAATTCGCCAGAGAAATTAAAATATCGTTAAGACTGGACACTGACATTTTTCCCGAATGACAAAACAAGTCTAAAATCAGAAGGAGGCAATTCTTACATTATATACACAGAACACGTGAAGTCAATGAACTCATCAAAATAATAGAGATATAATCATTCTTTCATTTTTCCTTAGTATAAAGGAAAATAAGTATTGCTTAGAAATTGTATATCTTCTTTCTTATTGATCGTAAAATCGTTACATTTTATATATAACTTTTCAGAAATGAATTGTATTTTATAATTAGACTCTAAATCTAAAATACATTTTTTACTATTAAAATATATTAATCATATTTCTTTCTTCACATCAAAAATATTTTTCAATAATTTTTGTTTTAAAATAAAATTAAAACAGA